CAGCAGCTGATAGCAAAGAAGTGGGAGGACAACAGAAGGGCCTAGGGAGTAACCCTAGCCAGATGAGTGCGCTTGTAGAATAGAGAATTTCGCTGGGGAGCGAGCACGCGCGATGGGATTGGTGAAAGAGCAGGTCGAGCAGCTACTTAGAAGCTCTGGGATGGTCCATGTGGAGAGTATCTGGTAGCATGTGTGTCGCGAGGTAGCGATTTATCATGAGCAGATAGTCAGTTGGGACTGAGATAGTTGAGGACCACACTACACCTATTTGAATATAGCAGGAGGTATTGTAGTGGTATTAGTGGGGAGTTCAGTCGAGTTCAGCGGTGCAGAGAGTTTTCTATCCATGGGGTGTTGAATTTGGGAGTGAGTCCCTGTTCTTAGGATGATCCCGGTGTTGGAGCGTTGGTTGATGACTTGAGGTGAGGGGTACGATGATTTTATGGCTTAGTCTATGAGCCAGGGATGTTATTGAGCAATTGAGTTGTTTGGTACTAAATTGGTACGAGATTTGGATTGACTAGAGGCAGACGTGACGCGAAGTTCTTGAGGAGTTCACCAGAGGTTCAGAGTATATGAGGTCGATTCATTTCCTTAAGGGGGATTATCGGGCGTTGTGTAGCACTTTCCGGGGGCAGGTGCGATTTTGCTGGAGAATATAGTTATGGGTTAGTTGCGTGCTATTTGGTGATGGTTCGAACCCTAAGTGGGGGAGAACCGGGTGCCGTATGTAAGAAAGCAGAGATTTGTCAAGAGCAGTTATAAGTGGAGTATAGAGATATGCGGTAAGAAATCATGAGACCAGAGATGTCGGTGATCGAGGAAAGGGGTCAAAGTGAGTTAATGCGGGATGTACTTGTTTGAGAAGGATGAATGTCTCCACGACAGGTGTCTATTGGTCAGGAATCTGGTATTGGTCAGTGTTGGGGCAAGTGGATAGAGAATGATTGGGCAGCCAACTCCCGGGTCGGTATGCGTATCCTTGTTGGATTTTGTGCGGCGGAAAAAAAAGGTTTCGGAGAATTATCAGCGTATTTCGTAGCGTTAGCGTTTCTTCGTATTGAAATTGAGAAATTGAATACACCGAAGTTGCAACTTGGGAAAAATGAAGATCTAGTTATGGGGTTCAGTGGGAATGTATTATTGCATCTATATGGTGCTTGGGACAGGAGATCAGTGGTTGTGGTAGGATCTCGTGATGTTCGGTGGGGGTGTTCTGAGGTATCCAGGTATTGATATCTTCATTTCGGAGTTACTCGCGAATCTTGATTTGAGACGACGTGTGGTATATCAAGTATCTATGGATCTAGTGAGAGCCCTTCGAGTATGGGCATCCAGGGAGATTATTTGGGAGAGTGGATCTTTGCAAAGGTGGGCATCTGTTATGACGATTGCCTCCAGAGTCTGTGATGAATATTCGAGACGAGTATGGGTAGCCGCCTATGATAGTCTGCGTAGCACGAGCTAGTGGGGTCAGAGGGTGTTGTGATACTGCGGGGAGCTGTAGTACTCACTAGTCAGAGGGTGTTGTGATACTGCAGGGAGCCGTAGTACTCACTAGTCAGAGGGTGTTGTGATACTGCGGGGAGCCGTAGTACTCACTAGTCAGAGGGTGTTGTGATACCGCGGGGAGCCGTAGTACTCACTAGATGGCAAGAAAGTGTGATGATGGAATGTTCTCCGATCAGTGTATAATGTGGAAGAGTTTTGGGCTTGAGTAGCCCTAGTATTGAGTTTTTGGAGCCTGGATGTTGGACCGGGGGCGAGACTGGGGTCCCCGTCTCTGTCAGGAAATGTGGTGAGATGCACAAGGGATATGCGCAACAGAAACCAGAGATCAGACTCGAGACGATCCTCGGTTGGATTGTATTTTCTCGCATAAGGAAAAGAGAATTTTGTGACTTGCATGTCACGGGGCCGGGATAGTGGTCACGGGGAGGAAGTTAGTGGGATATTTGGATCATGATATGGATGACCTTTGGAGGCTTAGCTGTGGAGTCAAAAGCTGACCTGGTGCTCAGTCTCGAAGAGGGATATGAGAAATGAGCTAGAGCTTATCATGATGATGTCTGAGGACACCTCAGAGGGAGCGAACGATTCAGACGCTCAAAGACATGCTTCGGGCATGTGTATTAGATTTCGGAGGGAGTTGCGACACGTATTTATCCTTGGTTGAGTTATCCTATTTCAACAGCCATCATTAGTGCATTGGTATGCCACCCTTTGTGCTGTTGTATAGGAGGAAGTGCCGGATCCTCATTTGCTGGGGAAAGTGTTGATTCACGGAAGTGGAAGTTGTAGTGAGAATGGATGATTTGGAGTATGGTGGTCGAACACTGTGTCTGTGACAGTGGTATGGAATGACATCACGATGGGATGTCTGCCGAGGACGCGTAAGGGATTCCGCGGGTGTAGAGCCAAGAGTCTCAGGATGGATGCAGGGATGGAGTCTGGGACTCCCAACTTGATTATGATCAAGGGCTGTGTGCGTAGTGGTGTTTTCTCCTGGGGATGTTAGAGATGTCATCAGTGTGACGGGTTTTCCTAACCCGAGAGTGCGAAGGTTGGTGCAGCATGGGTGTGTGATTGCAGGAAGAGGACTCATGGGAGTTGCTCTGGGATTGAAGAGTGGGTATTTACGTCGTCACGGATTGGATAGAGTGGGATTCGGATCGGGGATCCGATGGTTCATGGCTTCTAACCCTTATGGGTCGAGTGATTGTTGAGATTTGGGGCAGTGATGCTTCATGGGTAATTCTCGGATCATTGAGTGTGGCTATCAGAGGGTACATCCGGTGCCCGGTTCGAGACAGTGGTCAGGACACCGTAAGGAAAGGGAAAGTGTGTTCGAGTTTCGATGGGTATTCCTTGTGAGACCTGGTCCGATTAAGGCCAGGTGGCATGTTGTGGGAGTATTTCTGGAGTTGAGTTGTTGTAGGCTTCGAGGACGAAGCCTAATTTAAGTGGGGGAGAATTGTAACATCCCAAAATATCAAGAGTAGAATTGAAGGGGCTAAAAGAGTAAGTTGTGAAAGAGTGACTCGGCGAGTAGAGTCGCGACTTGGTCGCGTGTTAAGTTGCCGACTCGGCGAGTTAGTGAGATGGACTCGGCGAGTAGGCGCTGAGTGGAAAAAACCCTAATTCTCGGGGTTGAGCCTTATATAAAGATCATTATGTTTTCCTCCCAGCCTCTTTATCACCCCTTGAGCCCCAGAAAACCCTAAATCACGGAGAAGCACCATTGTTGAGTGGATTGGATCTTGGAGAAGTAATTGTTGAAGGAATTTTGGGAGATTGAAGGCTTGGAGCAAGGGGTTTTACTTGGATTCGAATTACATTGTAGTTGGGGCATCACTTAGAGGTAATATCTCGTTATTGAGCTGTTGTTATGTTGTTTCTTCATTTTGGGGTTTGTGAGAATTTGTCTATGGATGAAATGGGAAGTCTAGAGGTTAGATCTGAGGTTGCTACCTCAGATCTGGAAGGGAGAAGAATCATAGAGCATGAAAGTCCCTGTGTTGGAGTGTTTAGTGAAGCTTACATGTCCCAAACCCTAGCCCAATGTGAAAACGGCTTAGATCTCTTTGGATTCACGTAAAGTTTGCCACTTTACGTGATGGATGAGTGGTAGGAACTAGATCTATGTTTTGGAGCAGTTGCATGACCTGGAATGCTTCTGAATGGATTCAGACTGGTGGTACTCGGCGAGTCACATGGGTGTACTCGACGAGTTGCTTGAACATGAGCTGCGACTCAGCGAGTTGGAAGAACAACTCGGCGAGTAGGTTGATGATAGCCTTAGACTCGGCGAGTCTGTTCTTGGACTCGGTGAGTCTTGTCGAAGGGTCCCGATATTCTATGGTTGAGTCGAGAATCGGTGAGTCGAGGGATGACTCGGTGAGTTGTGTGCGAGTGGACTCAGAGTTGTTGGACTCGGCGAGTATTGGGGTGACTCGGCGAGTTAGGTCGCGGATTGAGTGAAGTTCTGATTATGGGAACTCGATGAGTCACAGGGTTAAGTCGGCGAGTAGGGTCAGTCAGGGGTTGACTTAGACTGAGGACTTTGATTTTGACCAAGGGTTGGCTGTTGACTTTTAGGGTTTGGTCAACAATGTGGCCTTTGGGCCAAGAGAGGGGTAAAATAGCCTTTTACCCTTAAGAGGGTGTCATGAGACGATTGATTCTAGTCTCGAGAGTTATATTCATGAGAGTATTTGCCTTACGTGTTAGGCGGTGGCGAGTTCGAGATTTAAGTGTGGGGATATCTGCTTTCTGCTTGCCAGGTGAGTCTTCTCACTATACTTTACCTTGCGTAGGTAATCAGAGTTATGTGATCAGAGTATTTGTATGCTATATGTACGTGATGTGTTGTACTGCATTATTTCTATGTGATTTATGTTGTGCATGTTATAGAGTTGGAACCGGAAGGTTCTCAGAGTTAGAACCTGAGGGTTTACAGAGTTTGGGTGCACGGACCCATAGAGTTATAGCCTCTAGTGGCTAATATGTGTTATGTGTGGTATTTTGGGGAACTCACTAAGCTTCGTGCTTACAGTGTTTTGTGTGATGTTTTCAGGTTTCTTTCAGTATCACGAGACGACACCGGCTTGATTGTACACACCAGAGAAAGAGTCATTTTTGGAGGATTCTGGTTTTCTATGCAAGTGAAAATGGAGTTATGTTTTGTAATTAGACTATGAATGAGATTTTAAACAAGCGTTTCTAAGAATAAAATGATTATTTTAAATAAAAAAATTTTTCTTGAAATTTACGGTGTTACAAGGAGCATATATGATATACTTTTACTTAACACACTTTAGTTTAGTTCTTCTCAGGCACTCATGCCATTACCTGTGCCCTATTTTTTTTCTTGAGGCCTGGTGATGAAATACTTAATCTACTCATTTAGAAAGCAAAAACTTTATTTATTAACTTTTATTAGCTTTTGGCAGTTGCTGGTACTCCTTATGATATCCTAGAAGAAGTCATTGGAATCAACGATGGAAGTGGAAATGGTGCTCCTTATCTGATGCACCAAACAATTTTGACACCAAACCTATAGGACCATCCACAAGCAATAGCATTTGGGATACATCTAATACAGTTGGTAGTAGGGTATTTCTCACCTAACTCTACTAAAAGGTTTTTTGCTGAGATCTCTAGGGTTGCAGTTGACAAGAATATTGTTGTCTATAGAAATCCCAAGAGAGGTATGAATATGTAGCATGAGTAATAAACATATATTTTAATGTCTGATTTAGTTATATTTATGTCAAACAGAATTTACATCAAGTGTTCTAGCTTTTAAGTAAATTGTATAAAATTTTATTTATTTGGTCTTACAATTTTAAATTTATTTGGTTACAACATTCTAAAACTTAATTATGTTTACATTTCAGGTATCATTTTGATTGGAGATATAGGAGGTACTGCAGAAGAAGATGTTGCTGCCCTCATAAAGGTTAAAAGACATCTAATATCAGATGAATAATATATTTCTACTTATTTATATGAAAGTAATATAAGTTTCTCATAATTCCAATTATTTTGAATTTGGAAACAAGAAAGTGGGACTGACAATTTAATTTATCATTGGGTTTATTGTTGGACTTACAGCTCCCCCTTGGCGATGCATGGGCCATGCTAGAGGTATTTCTTTGCCAGCTGTGACATGACATGTCTGAACAAGTTGTACAGGAGTGCATGTGATCACCTAAAGTTTGGGCCTTCTTTGGTGGATTTGCTCCTATAGGTGGCAAGAAAGTAGCAAGTGATGATGATATAATTCTTGAAAAAACTCCCCCAAACGTTACTGCTATAATTCCACTCTTTTAATTGTAATGTTTAATCCTTACATGTGACACGTACTAATTACTCTTTTGGTCAATTAATCTATGAAATTTTATATTATTCCAACTATGTCAAATGCAACATTGTTAGAGGTCAATTTCAGAAAATAGAAAGCGAACTTTCAAAATCATCATTACATAATGATAAATGTTATCGTTTATACTGTGGTACCGATTTGTTCATTTGTGTTGGTCGAACAACACCATTGCCAGATAAAAAATTTGTCATGCAGGCTGCTGAGGTTCCTCCCTCTTATATCTTTTATCTTTTATCATGTGTATCTGTTATTAATTCTCCCCTGTATAATATAACCACAATCTGTGCAGGAGTTTATTCTCAAAGAACATCTGTCAAAGTCAACTCCTGTGACCCGTATTGGTCAAGGTCATGAGACAATTTCTTTTAAATCCAACTTTGCATCTTGGTCTGCAACTTTTGTTCCTGAGGAAACTATAGGAAATGTAGCAAGTAGATTTGTTATGTATTTTTGTTACATGGGACATGGCTTTTTGGATTTTCGAGGGCTATTTTCGACTTTTTCTAAAACTAGTACTCTTGTTCTAATTACTAGCTCTGCTAAAGCAACAAGGTGCTTTTGTCAAACGTCATACAAAAAATGGCTCCTTTAGAGGAGGATGTTCCACCTTTGCTTGGAGAAAATGGAAAAATTGAGGTTTCATATCATAAACATGTTGACACATTTAGATTTAATGTAGAAAGATAAATTAATTAGTTATATTTATATGTTTGGTTTGAATTGGACAAGGAAGTTACAATTCTTTGTCCCACCTAATAAAAATGGGACATTGACATCTCTCATCTGTGTAAAAGACGAGAATACCCTTGTAACAACCATGAATAAAGTTAGTTTTTTTATGTGTGGAATGATGATTGATTAACTTAATAGTTAATGTTGGTTTGAATTGGCAGCCATTGTATCAGGTGGAAAGGGTACAACACAAGACAAAATTAGAACCCTGAGGGAAGCGGGTGTGATAGTGGTGGAATCACCATCAAAGATTGGAGTTGCTATGCTTGAGGTTTTTAAACAGAGGGGTCTTGTTTGAGTGAAGACCATGTATTAAGAAGAACAGGAAGAAAGCATTTTCAGTTCAGAATAACGAAGATAAACACCCAGGCGAGTTTATATGGTTGATTTTAACCTTGTTCAGTATTTTTAGCAATTTTTTCTCTTTTTTTTATGAAGCCAAAGCCAAGTGCCACAATATATTTTCTTCTTAGTTTTGTAAACTTGAAAAAAGTACATGGATTTGGAATTGAGATAACTGTTTTTAGATTTTACTTATGTGTTAAATAATTCCAAAAACTTGACAAGAAATGTCTGAGTATTGCTAGTATTAACTACCAGATAATGAACATAACCTTGTTTAATCTATATTCGAAATTTTGTAAAATCATCACGCGAATACATATCCCAAAATTGTGAATAATTTTGGATCTCAGATTCAAATATTTGTGAATACGCCTAGTTATTAGTAGTCATATTCTAGAAAATATAATTAAATGAAAAAGATTGTTCAACCTTGCAGATGGAGACTGAGGGGCATGAAGTTGTGGAGACTCCGTTTCTTGAGATTCTTGCTGCTGGAGGAAAGGTTTGTAAATTAAAAAGATGATCACTTTTTCTGCGTGTAGTTTGTGATTGTTGTAATATAAGTCAACACAGTTTTGATCTATGAATGTAATATAAGTCAACATACTCTAATGATTTTTAATTTTTTTTGTTCTTTTATATATTTATAGATGAGTATCATCATGTCAAGAAGTCATTTTAGATGAAGAAACAGACGAGTCACCCATTTTGCACTCACACGGGTACCTCCAATGTTCCTGGATATACACCGAGACCATTTTGCACTCACACAGGTACAATTTTACCCTTACATTCCATTCCAATATATTTTTTTTAACAATATTCATAAATTTTAAGAAGGGAAAATTGGTAAAAGGTTGGTCTGTGTGTGTGTGTATTAGCTTAACTCCAGATTAAACACTGTCATATTATATAGTATATAGTTGTTGTTAACTCATTAAGCTAATTATGTTGAGATTAAGTAGAGACTAAGACTGTATTGATTAGGTTAAATAATAATTTATTTCATGCATATTTTTTTTATAGCCATTAAATTTATATTGTAGGGATAAATGCAAATCCCAACAATGTAATGGGTTGGTTGGTTTTCTTTTCCGATTTGAACAACCAGACACTCTCCCACATTGTAATTTGAAAAAAGATCTTTTCTATTATAGCATTATACTTATACTTTTCTTATTAAGACAATAAAATTTGAACAATCTACTCGATTCTAACATTGTAATTCGAAGAAATGAAAGTGGAATGCTATAATAAACAAATATATGAAAGTATAATGCTATTTCTATCAATTTAACACTCTAATTTATAACAGTAGGTAATAATCAATCTATGAAACACTTATATATTTATTTACATGTACAGGTTATATATGAAGAGGCTTTGAAAGAAGTAGCTGAATACAGGAGAAAAAAATACGTGTTTCCCTAATTCAAGTTTCCATGTCAATAGTTCTTTTGAAAGGCTTGAATTGGGAGGAATCATTGGGAATCGGTTACATTTGTGCTAGGTAAATGGATTTGAATGTATGTCCTATTTGGAGATTAGTTGTATATGACATACTATATATTGTGAAATGGATTGTTATTTTTGTGTAAGTTATGCTATTTTGTATATGTGTAAATGAGTATCGTAAAGATGTGTCGTAAATGTATATTGTAAATGGTTGTTGAAGGTTATGACACGCAAATATGTGTCATTTTCATTTATGACATGGGCTTTAATGATACGCAATGCGTGTCCTAAATGCGCGCCATAAGGTTACGACACTCAAATACGTGTCGTCTTCCTTTATGACAGGGCTTTCCTTGATACACAATGTGTGTCGTAAAGAGCGTTGTAAATGTGTGTCGTAAAAGTGCGTCGTAAATAGACGACGCGCAAAAGAGTGTCGTATCTCGTTATGATAGGGCCTTCCTTGACACGCATTTTCACGTCGTCTGAGCATTTTACGACACGCATTGCGCGTCGTAAAAGATTGTTTTTCTAGTAGTGATTTCTCCATCAAATTTCGTGTTCATAAACGTAACCCTTGAAACTCTCAGAAAATACCACTGAGGTTTATGTTACACAACATTTGTGTTTATGATCTTAAAACTCATTATCACCATAATTTTAAGTGAAACCCAAAATCTGAAACCTATTTCTGAATTAATGGTGAACAATCAAATGTTGTAGATATTTTCACTAAGGAATTGACACATAAAACCTTTTTGGTTTGTACCATTACAAGTATGAAATATGAATTTTTTTTTTGAGTGACCTTAATGAAATGTTCTAGACCTAAGAAATTTCTTCCCAACAATATCCAATTTTTATTTTTCCTGAGATTTTCACCATATCCAGGTACTTAAATTAGATCCAAATCTTACTTGTTATCATGGCTACACTGGTCAAACAAGTACTTCTTTCAGATATTTGGACTTATGTTGAGTTTCAGAATTCGATTGAAGATGAAATCACCTTTCAAGCTTGTTAAAAGAATCCTTTCACGGTTTATTAATATACTAGTGATTGTAATTCAACGGGATACCACACAAGCACTTCCGAGTCTCTCTTGACTCAGAAGGAAGAGATCATCGCTCGGGGTCTATCAGATTTTCATGTCGATTTTATTTGACATAAAAAACTCCGTAAAAAATTTATTTATTTATTTATTTATGTTTGGTACACTCTTGCAGAAAAATCGTAGTGATTTTTCGAATTCTGGTTCTAAATTCTGAATGGTTACTTTTATTTTGAGAACAAGTTCTGATCTTCAAGTTGGTGAATTGGTGGATGATTCGAAAATCACCTAAACTGAAAAGATGGTTTATTAGAGAAAAGATTTGAAATCAGGCACAATCATTTGAAATCCCTGACATCACACATGTCTGTTACAGTGGGTCTGACATATTGATGAGTTGTCACACTTTTTAAGGCTAATTTTATGGGGTACTATAACTTCAAGCCGCGATTTTCTGTCACCACCCAGACCACACCGTATAAAAAGTTTTTGATGGTTCATTCTCTCTCACCACTCTCACCGTATTCAAAAACCCTTAAGCAAAAATCACAAACACTCTCTAGTGTTCATCATCGTTCTCGTTGCTTCAATGGCCGGAGCAACTAAAACTGCCTCTTTTGCTGACCAATGAGATTCCATCATCATGTTGAAAGTTAATGGAAACCAGAATCTCATTCTCGATCCCAACTCATTTGGCTAAAATGAATCCCCAAGGCCCATGATTAAATGCTTAGGGTTTTTGCCACTTTTTCAAGCTTTAACCATGGCGGAATCTGTTCCTTTGGTTCATCTTTCTAAGGCTTATTCATCTGTCAACTACAATTAGATTGATGGAGTCATTCACTTCAAGGTAGCTTCTTACAAAACTTCGATCTATAAATCCTATTTCTGCAGAAATTTAGGGTTTGCTTCATCTGAAGGACTCGTGGATCTAGAATCGATATCAACTTCCACACTCTCAACATGTTTTACCAGATGGGATACAATGGAGATATTTCCTTAATGTTAAAGTTTAGGAAGCCCTTTGTTCCTCCAATGTGGAATGGGCTATTTACTCTCTTGTTTAAGAGCTTCTCTGAAAGAGTTGCAGGCTCTGACAGTGCAAGTAGGTTGTTCTATCGAGATCCATGGCAAGTATAAGCTTTTGAACATGAGAGTACCTGGTCTCAAGATCCAGGAGATTTTACTTATGTAGTATATGGGATGTTGGTTTCTATCGAGATCCTTGGCTAGTACAACGCTTACCGCGTTTGAGAATACTGAAAGGTAAAGAAGGAGAGGTTCCCCATCCAATGGTTTTACCAATAGAGGTGGTGAGCTTAAATATCTTTAACCTCTTGGAAAGCATCTTCATGTTCCTGGGTCCACTCGAATCTTTTGTTCTACTTCATCATGTCGCAAAAAGGATTGCAACTTTCCGAGGAACTTGATATAAGCCTGTTTAGGGCTACCACACTGCATGTTAATCTATGAATATCCTTTTTCGAGGCTGGTGATTTTAGATCATGGATGGCCATGATTGATTCTGGGCTTGCTTTGATTCCTCTTTTGGTAACCATGTATCCTAGGAACTTACCCGATCTCATCCTAAAGTGGCACTTGGAGGGATTCAACTTCATGTTATATTGGTCTTGGATGTCGAAGGCTTCCTCGAGATCCTTGAGGTGATCCTCAACTTTTTTGGATTTGACTACCATGTCATCAATATAGACCTCCATCATATCCCCTAATTTCTCCTTGAACATCTTATTCACTAACCTTTGGTAGGTTGCTCCAACATTTTTAAGACCAAATGGCATAGCAGTATAACAATAGATACCGGGTGGGGTTATGAACGTTGGGTCCTCGTGGTCAGAGGGTACCATTTGGATATGTTGGAATCCCTTTGACGCATCCATGAACATCAGTAATGTGCCACCCGTTGTTACGTCTATCATGGAGTTGATTTGTGGTAGAGGGAAAGGATCCTTAGGACAGGCCTTGTTAAGATCTGTATACTCCACACACACTCTCCATTTACCATTATTATTTTGTACCACGACCACATTAGCTAGCCATCTTGGGAACTTCACTTCCATGATCAGGCCATTATTGAGAAGTTTTCCACTTCGTCTTTTATAACTTGGTTTCTTTTGGGTGAAAATTTCCTTTTTTTGTGTGTTGGCCTAAAAGATGGATCAATGTTAAGCTTATGGGTTATTATGCTTTTGTTAATACATGTCATGTCCTCATGTCTCTAAGAAAGCATTTTTCTTCTAGCCTTGAGGAACTTTAAGAGATGTTGTTCCATTTGTTCGGGCATTGAGGATTCCACAAGAACTTTGGATTCGGGATCCTCAGGGTTCAGGGGCACCTCTTTTATGTCATGCTCTTTCGCCTCCAGCACGCCTCGTGCCCCTGCCTTAATTTCTATTCTTATCATGGTATTTTTTAGGACATCATTGAAGTCTTATAGCATTTCTAGGATTATTGTTGGTTTCCCATGATCTTCATCATCCCCCATTGGGTGGGCATCTTTACGCATTGATGATACATTGATGAAATGGCCTTCATTTCATGGATCCACGGTTTACCTAATATTACATTATAAGAAGATAATGGTTTAATCACACAAAAATGTTGTACATAATTTACCCCATTTATGTAGATTGGTAGCTTTATATCGCCGATGATGTGTTTAGTTACTTGGCTGAAGCCAATTAGTACTGAGGATCTTGCAATTATCTCAGATTTCGGGATGTTTATTCTTTTTAATGCTTCCAGGAGTATGATGTTAATAGAGGATCCTGCATCGACGAGGACCCTTCTGACGAAGTGGTTGCCAGTGTATATAGTAATCATTAGTTCATCGTGTTGAGGTTGCTGGACGTCCTGTTTATTCGCTTCATCGTATGTGATCTCCTTTTGGTTAGTGATCGAATTGTTCTTCTGTGGTCCATTTTCTTTTCAGTTTTGCATACTATGGTGTCCCTTTTTTTCCGTAGAGTAGGAGGTTGCATAAATGTCAGATTCTCCAGAGATTATATTGATCACCTTGGCTCAACCCCTGGGGGGGTATATTGGTCTTTTGAGGGTCTTTTAAGGATCCTGGTATTTTTCTTTGGATTTTTCCTTTGTGTTGTCAAGGATTTCTTTGAGGTATACTTTGCCTAGGAGGTAGCTGATTTCCTTTATGAGGGT